CCTACATGGCTGTTGCCCCTTGACAGAAGCTCTGGCTTTCAAGAGGAAAAATCCCATCATTTGGGCAGCATTTTCAGCTTGCCTGCGAGCCAGCACCTTCTGACTGCCTCCTTCTCACCTCCTTAGGGCTACCTGATCACAAACAGGGAGATTGTCTCTGAGGACATCGAAGACTTTGAGTTTACTCCCAAGCCCGAGTACGAGGGCCCCTTTTGTGTCTTTAATGAACCAGATGAAGTAAGTTCTGTCCAGCAGATGTTTTACTTGCCTGGGGCTCTTGCTGGCCAAAGAGAGATAATTACTTGGTAGGCTGCCTCACTGGGGAGCATGGTGGGTCCAGCAGGTCTGGTCATGCTTTCAGTTCTTGGTAAGAAGGAAAGGGAAGTCAGGTTTGGGCCAGGTGGCGAGGAGAGGGGCAGGGTGGAGTGAACTGTATGGTGTCCACCACCTCTCCACAGAGGTTCATTTACTTTTTGATACGAATCTTTTCTACTCTTCTGTTTCATCCTAGGCTCATTTAATCCAGAGGTGGTTTGAACATGTCCAGGAGACCAAACCCACCATCATTGTCACGTACAATGGAGACTTCTTTGACTGGTAAGATGAGGAATGAAAACTCAGCTGGCAAGGTGTCACCTGAGGTATGGGGCAGGGTCAGGTACCAGCCTCAACATCCTCCCATAGCTCACATAGTGGTGACAGTGTGTGATCCATGCCAGCTATCTGAGCTTGAGCACTTCCCCAAATCTTGTGGTCATTGGCTTGGCAATATGAGTTTCTGTGGAGTCCCATCCCCTTGGCTGAGCTGCTTTGAACCCTTGTCAGTGTGGCCATGTGGGTATATGGATGAGCCCAGCCTTGGAAGAGCTGGGAGAGAGTCAGAAGAGACCACCAGGGTATTCAGAAAATCATTAAGGCTGGAAAAGGCCTCTAAGATCACCAAGTCCATCCATCAATCCAACACTCCAATGAACACTAAACCATGTCCCCATGTGCCACGTCTACACATTTTTTTTTTGAACACTTTCAGGAATGATGACTCCAGCACCTCCCTGGGCAGCCTGGGCCAAGGCCTCCCCACTCTGTCAGTGAAGAATTCTTCCTAATATCCAGTCAAAAACCTCCCTGGTGCAACTTCAGTCCATTTCCTCTCATCCTATCACTAGTTGGGAAAAGAGACCAACACCCATGTCACTCCAACCTCCTTTTGGGGAGCTGCAGAGCTCCAGAAGGTCTCCCCTCAGCCTCCTCTTCTGCAGGCTAAACACCCCCAGGTCCCTCAGCTGCTCCTCACAAGCCACGTTCCCTTCACCAGCTTTGTTGCCCTTCTCTGGACCCGCTCCAGCCCCTCAAGGTTGGGCACGATCCCTTCCCTACTCCTGCTGCACACACTCCTTTTGACCCAGGCCAGGATGCTGGTGGCCTCCTTGGCCACCTGGGCACACACTGGCTCATGTTCAGCCCTCCATCCAGCAGCACCCCCAGGGCCTTTTCCTCCAGGCAGTTTCCAGCCACTCCTCCCCTAGCCTGGAGTGTTGCCTGGGGCTGTTGTGACCCACGTGCAGGACTTGGCCTTGCTAAACCTCATCCAGCTGACCTCAGCCCATGGATCCAACCTGTGCAGACCCTTCTGCAGAGCCCCTGACTCTCGAGCAGATCCAAACTCCCACTCAGTTTGGTGCCATCTTCAAACTTACTGAGGGGGCCTTGGTCCCCTCACCCAGATGACTGATAAAGATGGTAAAGAAGACTAGCCCCAAAACTGAGCCCTAGGGGCCACTGCTGGTCCCCAGTGGGGGTACTGGGGAGAGGGGTCCAGGGCAGCCCTCAGGCAGCAAGGGGGGAGGGACTGTGCTCCTCCAGCTCCTGGTGCAGGCTGTAAGCAGCAGCTCTGGCTCCTGCATCATGCTGCAGTTCTGTCCTGCAGGAGGCTTTCCCCATAGCCAGGTACTGCAGATAAACAGCAGGAAAAACTCTTTAGGTAGCTTGTAAGAAAGCAGTTGTGCAGCCATCATGGGAGGAGTAGGGAAATGACTGTTCTGTCCTCTTCCCCCCAGGCCCTTTGTGGAAGCGAGAGCAGCAGCTCACGGACTGGACATGTACCAGGAAATCGGCTTTCAGAAGGACAGTCAGGGAGAGTACAAAGCATCCCAGTGCATCCACATGGACTGTCTGAGGTACCAAACGCTGCCCCTCTGCTGTAGAGCTGCATCTTCATCTCTTGAATCCTTATAAAATGCCCACAGTGCATTTGAATACTGTCCTGTCTGTTGGGAGCTTTCGTGTGTCACAGCTCCCCAGGCTGGTGTGAAGGTCCCTTCCCTTGGCTGTGCTGCTTCCCCATGGGACTCTGTGTCCTGCAGAAGCTGCCAAGCCTTCCCCAGGAAGGGCTCTCAGGCTGTCTCTCTCCCTGCAGCCTGCTAGTGGCTGTCCTTGGGTGTCTGAGGTCTGATCTGGGGGAGTGGAGAAAGGGTGGGGTAAGATCAGGCCACTAGAGGTGGGAAGGGACCATTCACAACCCAACAGCCTCCTGGCAGAGCCAGGAGAGCACAGGACATGCTGTGTGTCCATGGGAGGGAGAGAGAGAGAAGTTGGCAGTGCTGTGTGGGTTTCTCCTCCACTGGAGCAGTCTCTGGATTTTGGAGAGTGGCTGATGGTCCTTGCAGTCCTGGTGGGGTCTCCTCCAGTGCTTAAATCACTAAATTTTTGTGGTTGAAGGAGACTTTTAAGGTCAATGAGTGCAACCATTGACCCAGCACTGCCAGGACACCACTAAATCATGTCCCTTAGTACCACATCTCCATGGCTTTGAAACCCTTCTAGGGATGGGGATGCCACCACTTCCCTGGGCAGCTTTTTCCAATGTGAGAACCCTTTTAGGGAAGAAATTTCTCCTGATATCTAAACCAAACTTCCCCCAGTGCAACCTGAGGCCATTTCCTCTTTTGCTATTTCTTGTTCCTTTGGAGAAGAGACTGACCCCCACCTGGCTCCAGCCTCCTGCCAGGGAAAAGATCTCCCCTGGGCCTCTTTTTCTGCAGGCTCAACAGCCCCAGGACCCTCAGCCACTCCTCACAGGACTTGTGCTCTAGACCCTTCCACTGAGGGAGCTGGGAGGTGGTAACTCTGAGCAGAGGTGATGGTCTGGGTAGTGGGGTGTGTTCTGGCTGGGATTTAAGTGCATGGGTGGAGGTGCAGGAGGTCTAAAGCTGGGCAGCCTGTCTCTCCACTGTACCTGGGCACTCAGCTCTTTGGCAAGAGGCTCCTTTGCCTTCGAGGCCCCGTTTGCAAGCCTGAAGCCCGTTTCTGAAGGGCAGGGCTGGTTTCTGTGCACAAACTGGTATTTCTGTGGTTCTGTCCAGGTGGGTGAAGAGAGACAGTTACCTCCCAGTGGGAAGTCACAACCTGAAAGCAGCAGCTAAAGCAAAACTGGGTTATGACCCAGTGGAGCTGGACCCTGAAGAGATGTGCCGGATGGCCACGGAGGAGCCCCAGGTAGGACCCTCCCATGCTGTGTCCCCTCTGAGCAATGGGGAAGCCAACACAGCAGCTGCAGTGTGGCTGAACCTCCCAGCTGAAGTGTTACAAAACGTTTTTGATTAATACAGTGGGTTTTGAGAAATTAACTCAACCTATCTCCCCGAACTGCTGATGCCTGAGAAGCACTTGAGCTTGGGGGGGAAGAACATGTTTTCTTTGAAGTGCTTCTAGCACTGATATTGCACTGTCTGTTTTCTGTATTACTCACGTTAAGCTGGGGTAGCAGCCACCACCTAAGTCAGATAGAGCACAAAGAGCCATGACTTGCTGGAGGGATGAGAAGCAGGGAGTAAGAGGAACATAGAATCACAGAATAGTTTGGGTTGGAAGGGATCTTAAAGATCATCTCGTTCCAACCCTCCTGCCAGGGGCAGGGACACCTCCCACTAGACCAGGTTGTGTGAGACCCCATCCATTCTGGCCTTGAATGCCTCCACAACATCCCTGGGCAACGTGTGCCAGTGTCTCAGCACCCTCAGAGTGAAGAACTTCTTCCTTAGGCCCAATGTGGATCTCCCCTCTTCTGGTCTGGAGCCATTACCCCATGTCCTGTCACTACAAGTCCTTGTAAAAAGTCCCTCCCCAGCTCTAGTATGTCCCCTTTGAATACCAGAAGGCCACAGTAAGGTCTTCCTGGAGCCTCCTCTTCTCCAGGCTGAACAGCCCCAACTCTCTCAGCCTGTTCTTACAGGAGAGCTGCTCCAGCCCCTTTGATCATCCTCATCGCCTTCCTCTGGACCTGCTCTAGCAGGCCCATGCATGTCCTTTTTCTGCTGGGGGCTCTACAGCTGGATGCAGTACTCCAGGTGGGGTCTCACAAGGCTGGAGCAGAGGGGGAGAATCACCTCCCTTGACTTGTTGGCCATGCTGCTTTTGATGCAGCTCAGGATCTGGGCTAGACTTAGTGCTCCAGATGTCGTGGGTGGGTGATGTCTGGTGGAGCCCTGGAGCAGCCTCCTGATTCCCAAGGAGGGTGGCATCTGTGCCATGAGTTCATCTTCCTCATTCCCATTCAGAGCTGAGGCACTGCTGTGTAATTAGAGCAAAAGCAAGATGTCCTCAGGAGCAAACAAGTTACTCTTTACAACCTAGGAGGTGGAGGAACACACCTCTCCCTTTCTCCCGCTGATGGGAGAGTGTCTAGCAGGAAGCAATGCTGGATTATTGTCACTGAGCTGCTGTCACACGTGATGGGGACTAATTCACCTCTCACCCTTCCCCACCAGACCCTGGCCACCTATTCAGTGTCAGATGCCGTTGCCACCTACTACATGTACATGAAGTACGTGCACCCTTTCATCTTCGCCCTGTGCACCATCATTCCCATGGAGCCTGATGAGGTGGGTGCCCTCCTGCAATGCTGATGGCTTTGCTGGGTGAAGAGCCACGTCTCCCACACTGCAGGGACACGCTGGCCACAGGCAGTGTCCCAGCTGGGCACTTTCCCATCTGTGTCAGCGAGGGAGGGGGGATTTGGAGGCTGCTTTTTTCTCTCCACAGCCCTGGGGTGTTTTCAGAGAGGTGCCTAAGAACAAGAGACCTGAGGGTTGGCAGTACAGAGCTGGAGCAAGAAAGTGTGGCTGGTGCTCCCTGCTGAGCCAAGTTGATTTGCAGTCATGGTCATTCAAGGCCTTGTCTCCTGAAGGCTGTTGCCAGCTGTAGTGTGGGTGGTTAGGGAGCTGTCTGTGCTCAGCCTGTAGGAGATGTTGCTCTGTCCCCACCTGATTTAGCTTACAAAAGCACTTGGCAGTGGGGCAGTGTCAGGAGATGATGGCAGCAGAGCTTTGGAGCTCTTCACACTGTCCATAGCCTGCCCTCCTCCCTGCCAGCATGAAGGAGTTGGTGTTGATTTCTCTGCCAGGGGCTGCAGTATGGCTGCAGCAGCTCCTGCTGCAGGTGCCACCAGCTGAAGCCATCTGGCTGTCTGATGTCACTGGAAGGCCAGTCCAGTCCCAGCAGCACTGGGACAGCACTTCTTGATGAGTCTGTCATGCTTTGGGGTCAGGGACACCCCTAGACCTGTAACAGGCATTCTCTGCTTACCCCCCTCCCCTTCCCCCCTGAAGGGAAATAGAAAGGGAATAAGGGAGAGAGACTTATTGAATAGACAAGAAAACAGCTTTAATACTACTACTAATAATAGTAAAAATAATAATAAAATGGAATTATGCAAATATATACAAAACCAGTATCAAACCCAGCTCCCCCCTGATGGCAGCACATCACCATCACCCCCTGCTGGGGAACAGCCCCTGGGGAAAGGGTCCCAGGCTGGACTCCTGGCTCCAGGAGCTGGATTCTGGAGCTCAGTTCAGGAGCACAGGGCTCAGATCAAAGGCAGGATGGATGGATGGAGTCCTCCTCGGGTGCTGCCCACTGCAGGAGCAGCAGAAGGCAGAAGGGAGGTGGAAGGGGGATGGAAGGGGCTTGTCCCCCGTGACCCTTCAGCTTTTGTAACGAATATGATGCTCAGGCCCACTGCTGAATCTTGGGGTCACTGATCCTGCCTGCTCCTCCCCGCAGGTGCAGCTTTACTTCCTGCCCCACTGTGTGATCCATGAGCTGAGCTTGACCTTGGTCTGCTCACCAGTCCCTGGCAGTAACTCCAAACATGGAGTGTTCTCACTGCTAAAAGCAGACACATGCAAAAATCTGCTGTTAACTTCAGACAGTGCAGTTAGAAGAGCTTTAGCTGAAAAGTAAAATCACTGTTCTACTCCAAACCAGGACACAGTTGTGGCCACTTGCCCACTTGCTGTGGGCACAGACATCTTTTGCTAGATCAGGATGCTCAAAGCTGCACCCAGCCTGAGCACAAACACTTTCAAGGATGGAGCATCCGCAGCCTTTCTGGGCAGCCAGTGCCAGTGTTCCACAACCCTCACAGCAAAGGATGTCTTCCTTCTCTTTCATCTAAATCTGCTCTTTTTGAGTTTAAAAGTGGCTCTGGTGTCCCTCCTGCAGGTGTTACGGAAGGGCTCTGGGACACTCTGTGAGGCACTGCTGATGGTTCAGGCCTATCACGCCAACATCATCTTCCCCAACAAGCAGGAGCAGGAGTTCAACAAACTGACAGAGGATGGGCACGTGCTGGACTCGGAGACGTACGTGGGGGGCCACGTGGAGGCCCTGGAGTCGGGGGTCTTCCGCAGCGACATCCCCTGCCGCTTCAGGATGGTGAGGGGCCATGCCACCCCTGCCCTCCAGGGGCTGGCATCTCCTGGGCACCCTTGTGTCATGGGGAGAGCAAATGTGTGTGTGACATGCTGGCAGCGAGCCAGACCTTGTTGATAGCAAGGGAGAGTGGTGAAGGGGGGGTTGGGTTTGGGTTTGAGATGATGGTTCTTGGAAGAGAGGCCTCTGTCCCCCTGGGGTTCTGTCCTCCCTCTGTCCTTCTCCCACTCAAAAGCTGCTGCTGATCCCTTCCTGGACATCTTTCAGGTGTTTCTGGTTCATGGTGCTGTCACCATCACCTCCCCACTGCTCTGCTCCCTGCCTGCCTTGTGCTCCCAGACCCTGAAGTTTTCAGAGGTGGCTTCACTCTGCCATGCAGTGCACTGCCCTTTGTGCAGGACATCCTGGTGGTATCTAGGGAATGTGGACCCAGTGTAAGGCCTTTGACAGCATCCCCCACAACGTCCTTCTCTCTAAACTTGAGAGGTGTGGATTTGGTGGGTGGGCTGTTTGATGGATAGAGAATTGATTGGATGGCTGCATCCAGAGGGTGGTGGCCAACAGCTTGTTTTCCAAATGGCGATTGGTGACAAATGTTTTCCCTCAGGGGCCTGTACTGGGACCAGTGCTGTTTAATACCTTTATCAATGACACAGACATCAAATGCACCTTCAGGTGACACCAAGCTGAGTGTTGCAGTCAACACACTGGAAGGAAGAGATCCATCAAGAGGGACCTGGACAGGC